CGAGGCGGTCTTTAGGGGCTTCTCGAACTGTTTGCTGCGGCTGGGCGATAACATGGCCAACTACCCGCAGGACCTGGACGACAAGAGAAATCTCCAAACGATCTGCGCGTAGGTCTTTCCTCTCTCCTTCGGGACCGCGGGGTTAGGGGGGAGAAGGGGACTACGGGGCCCACGCAGGGCTGGGCAAGTGGGAGCGAGGTTGGATGGTGGCGGTGGGAAGGGAAGCAAGAGAAGCAACGCAGGGTTTCGGTGCTTTGGGGCTGGATTCTCCGCTCCAGGGTCCCTCCAAGCGCACTGCCATGGGGAAAGGCCGGGGCTGGGCAACAGTGAAGTCCGGAGGGATTTTTTTACCATGTGTTTTCAGTTTTCCCATCCTCGAATCTGGGTGGTGGTTTGGTTTTTTTTTGTTTTGTTCGGTTTGTGTTTTTTTTGTTTGGTTGTGGTTTTTTTTTGTTGTTTGTTTGCGTTGGGTTTGGTTGTTTTGGGGTTTTTTTCCCCTCCTTAGCTGCTCCCTTGTATTCTTTTCCTTTCTCCCCCTTGGCACTGAGGTATTGACATGAGCTGCACGGGGTTCGTTCTCTATTTCCTTATTGCGGCCCTTGGTCACACGCCCACTGGCAGGTTTGGGGGTCCCCCCGGGGGCTCAAGGCAGAGGCAGGCCGGGGGGAGGCAGCTCACCCCGCCCGGGGGCAGCCGGAGCTGAGGAGGCGGCTCCTCGGAAAAGCGAACTATGATTAAAAGGAAACTACCCCAGACACGATCTTAAGCGCTCAGGTGCAGAAGGCTGAAGGCAGAGGGTCCTACCAAGGGGAGGGAAACCTGGAGCCCCCAGCTCCGGCCTCGTCCGCCCCACTTGGGTTTCTCGCGTCCTGGCCAGGGAGGCAGGTGTGGATATTGATTCCGTACGTCTGGGAAAAATAATAATAATTTTTTTAAATTAAAAATAAATCCGGCTGCACGAGATAATGTCTCGTATCCCGTTGCTGTTTTCAGGCACATATTCTTCTCACCGAAAACAAAAAAAAACAACCAAAAAAACCTCAAAACCCAACAAAACAAACACAAGAAACCCCCACAACCTCCCCCCCAAAAGCAAATCAAAACCAAACCAAGCCAACAAACAAACAAAAGAAACCCCAAAGCAGACAGCCAACCCCAAACAAACCAACCAATCAACCCAAACCAAAACCCCAACCAAAAACCAAAATAGACAAAGTTATATTTAGAAACGAGATAAAGTCTTTAGATATAAATAGCTCGGAGAGGAGAGGAGAGGAGAGGAGAGGAGAGGAGAGAGAACTGTATAGCTCTCCTCTCTTCCCACGTAGAGATTTCTGAGCCAAGCTCCTACTAAGGCTACCACATGTAAATGCTGCCTTGCCGTTTACCTTGTGTCCTGCATGAGGAATAAATACCCAGAGGCAGCAGAGTCCTCCTAAGATGTCTCTTGGCCTTGGAGTGCCAGACCAGAGGTGATGCCGACCTGTAAAAAGCAAGACCCTTTTCCCGACCACCTCCCACCACCCGATTGCCTTCTCCCTGTGCCGGGATGTGTGTTGAAAGAAGATGGAGAAAGATTTAATTTTCCTTTGGGAGATGCAATTACAGCAGAAATACTGCAGGAGAGGCACACACTCAGACTCTGGCTTCTCAGTATCTCATTATTTATTACAAATGTAGCAAACATTGGGAGCCTACAACCAGCTTAGAGTGCTCATAAATTAGAGGCTGTAGAACTACTTAAAAAAAATAAATGAAAAAAAAAAATCAGGATTCAAATTTTCAGGCGCCTGCCTGGAGGCGCGGGGAAATACGAAGCAGGAGAGAGATTGGGGGTGATTTTCAACAACCCAGACGCAGAAAGGAAAAGTCCTCCCATCCCCCTCAGGTGGGGGCATTGGGACAGGTCCCGTCCCGGCGGCAAACCCCGGTTCAGTCCCTGTGAAGAAAGGATTTAAAAAAAAAATAATAAAAATAGTAATGAAAAACTTGTGAGGACAGCTGGAAATTATCCTGGGGAAAGAACACATCGAGCCCTGGTTATGGATGAGAAGTGCCTCCCGCCTCTTCCCGCGCCGCGGTTCGGTGCGGGGCGTCCAGGAGGTGAAGATACTCCTCCCTCCTCCCCTTCTCCACGTTCTCCTCCTCCTCCCTTTCCTCCCTCTCTGCCCAGGCAGTCAGGGCCCGTTCCCGCACTGGGGGACTCCTTCTGAGGATTTCTAACGCGGCACCGGGACCCCCCAGGATACCTCCTGCCGCCTGGGAAAAGCGAGGCCTTTCCCACTCCCATCTGCCCGCTCCCACCGGTGACGAAAACCCTTTGGGAAGAGCCCGTGGGCTCCTAGGTTGGCGTCTGCCAGCTGAGGGGTCCACGCCTTCCCCCTACAGGACAAAATCCCCTCCCGTAGAGACGCAGCAAAACAAATCTTTCACCATCCCGCCCCGCCGGGGCTGGTGTGGAAGGCAGGGTTGGGGAAGGGGGACCCCCAAAACTGCAGGTAGCGGCAGCCCCCCCCCGGGGGACCTTGCAGGGGAGCCGGTGCCCATCGCAAAGCTAGGGTGGGTTTGGGGCACGCCGGGGAAGACAAGGGGGCGAGAAAGAGGTGTCTAGGGGAGGGGAAGGCGGGTTTTAGGGCGGGGGAGGCGGTGGCTCCTCCCCGCCGGGCTCTTTAAGGGATGCCCCTTCTTAGCTCGGCCGTCGAGGGCGACGGGCCTGAGAGGGCTGCCCCCCCTCAATCTCCCGGGAAGGTGGGTGCGTGCCTGTTTTGATTCCCGCTGCTCTCCCTCCTTGCAGGTACTGGGATGATTTCCACGCTTGCACCCTCACAGCACTCACCGATTGCCAGGAAGGAGCGACAGACCTCTGGGAGAAACTGAGACGGGAATCCAAAAACCTCGATTTCCAAGGCAGCTTATTTGAACTGTGCGGAGGCGGCAGCGGCGCGGCAACGTCCCTCCTCTCGCCGGCCTTGCCCCTGCTCCTGGCGGCTCTGTGGGCTGCCCTAGTGACCTGGCTGCCTTTCTAGGGGGGGCGAGCACACTCACACCCACACCCTCTCCATGTGCTGGATCTATAGAGGAAGTGTCCATCCGTTGCTTTGGGGACGTTGTGCTTTTCTGTGGTTGATGATGATGATGGTGGTGGTGGTGGCTGATGATGGTGAAACACCCATGTAGGACTGTGGAAGCGTTTTCCCTTTAATTTCTTTTTTTTTTTTTTGGTGTGTTTTATTTGCCAAATGTTACCAAACAGGCAGCGGCGCGCAGCCCAAACCGGACCTCAGCTTTACTACCGCTTCGAATCAAAAATAGAAACAAACAAACAAACAACAAAAAAAATAGAAATAGAAACTCGAGCCCTCGTTGTGCAAAAGCAATCTCAGGAACGGCTCTGGGCCACCTAATGCTAAGGTTGTGATCGGCCGGGATACCTCCCGGCGGGCCACGGGCTCCTCTAAATGTGACAGTGTGCAAGGCGAGAACAAAATCGCAGACAAAAAAATATAAGGCACTGGCGATGAATCCAAGGTAGATGTCCACGTGTGAAGCATCTGGTGAATAATTCACAGTCTCTCATCTTTCCTCCACAGTCGCTTGTTTTTTGGTCATTCCACTGAAAAAAAAAAATATA